AGTGGAAAAAAGGCCTCAGGGCCCAGGGGGTTAAGTCTCACATTAACAGACTCACAGGGATACCGCAATTGAGTTTGGAGGAGCCGACCATTCGGCATAACAATTGATTAATAATCAGCATTAAATAATAATTAATTAAACTTTAATTAATTCAAACATATTGGTGGAGAATATTAAAATTTATTTGAGCTATTAATTCCTACAAGTATGTACCATCCACTAACATTGAAGAGCCGATGCATGAGGAGCTGGTTGATACTGCACGATTAATTTTATCCACTGCCAGGGGGTGGTCAGTTTCTTGGTCACTGTCTAGCTGCTCCAGTGATAGTACCGCCATCGTTCGCCTCGAGCTTGAGAGGCAGACAAAACTGGGGTAAAGCATAGCAGTGCTCAGATTGCAAGAGGTGGGTGGTTCAGGTCCAGAGAGTAAAGTCCAGACCAAGATTTTGTTTCAACCAACCCATTGAATACTCTGTCACTGTGGACTTTTATTACCCACCTCTGCCGATTGCCTTGAAACTTCTTGTCAGTCCACAGTCCAACAAAGGCAGGGCTTAGCATGCAGGATTGAGCAGAAAGGTGTGCACAGATAATAGCCAGCAACATCTAGGAATCCTGTGTTGCCTGTGATCTCAGGGACGCCTTGATAGCAAGGACTGGTCTAACTTGCTCTTGTCCTACCACTTTGCCAAAGCAGGTAACTCACACAACCAAATTCACACTTTGCTAAATTCAGTCTTAGTGAAGTCCCTGAAACTGAAAAGAAGGACTGATGAGAGGTGTCTGCCTAAACAGAGAAGTAAAATATAGCATCATAACATATAAGCTGCACAGTTGTCAATACTCTCTTTCGTTTGCAGTAGTGAGAACGAATTTGGGGGCGTAATTGGGATCAATCTTTGGTTCACACCATCACCAGCCTGATCTGCTGACACAGGACATGTTGGGTACATAGATTCATGATCTTTGGGCCAAATTATGACCCTCTTGTCTGGGTTTCACAGTAGAAATTGAGATTGGACAGACCAGGTGACATTTCCCTGTCTTCAGCTGTCTGGTTTTGCTGAACCTGTGCTAACTGCAGACTCAGTTTCCTGCCCTTTGCTGACAGCAGTGAAACCCAAGTGACCTTCTGCCACTGAAGACTTCCTGGTTCCTTTTAGCAGCCTGGGCCGTTCACTCTTTGGTTATTTTAAACCCATATCACATTCCTCATTCTTTCGTTAGATTATAGAGATGCCAGTTATGAGCCAGTGGGATTTTGTTGCTAAACACTGTATTTTTGAAAAACTCTGGATTTCTGTTTATGATATTCCATAACCCATTTTAAGAAGGTTGTCAGCCATTAACTAAGCAATAAAGGATTAAACTCATATTTTATTTTTTATCATACTCTGAGCATAGCTGTTGATACTTTTGACTGTACAATACTTATATTCAATTCAAATTTTATATAGCACGTTATCACATTGTCTCAAAATGCTTTACATTATCTCTACCCAAAACTCCCAGAGAGTGAGACAGAGGTAACAGAGGCGAAGAAAAACTCCCTAGTAGAAAGAAACCTTGGGAGGAACCAGACTCAAAGGGGGAGCCCAACCTCCTGGGGACGCAAAGGAAGTGCAAAATAGCTAATTCCCGATTTATAAAGTAAATCTGTGTGTAGTTCAGGTATAAATGCGGACGGTCCGGCTGATGTCGGAACAGGCAGGTGAGGAAGCTGCTTCCTCTGGCAGGATGGAGGGGTGGTCCGGTCCAGCAGTAAGGAGGTGAGGACGGCAGATGTGTGGGCAGGTTGGGCAGGCAGGCAGGGAACTGCCCACCTTCCGGAGCTCCAACACAGGGAACACAACACTGCATTAATACAAATCTGTGATAAATTATTGAAATTATATGAGGTATTTTGTAGTGTGGCATGGAGAGAATTTGCCTGTAGCTTTGAGTAGACCTATCTTACCCTTATTATTATTACCCATTCATCCATTGTCGTAACCGCTTAGTCCCAAATGGGGTCGCGGGGGGTCCGGAGCCTACCCTGGTAGCACCGGGCGCAGGTGGGAACCAACACACTGCAGGGTGCCAGCACTCACACAGCCACAGGGCCAATGTAGACACGGCAATCAGCCTACCCTGCACGCTTTTGGACCGTGGGAGGAAGCCGGAGCCCCCAGCAAAAATCCACATGAACATGGGAAGAGCGTGCAAACTCCACACAGGATGGACCTGTGATCGAACTCAGGACCTTCTTGCTGTGAGGCAGCAGCGCTAACCACCGTGCCATGATGATGATGATGATGATGATGATATCTACAGAATAGTTGAATACCACAGGGATCCATTAATGGCCTGTTGCTTTTGTTTTGATTTATTATTATTGTCTATTATGAAGGAGTAGTAATGATGCAAGATGTGACAGAACACAGACACAAAAAGACCTCAAACCGGACATTGCCACCAGAACTGCCTGGTTTTCCTCTAAGTGAGTCTGTTGGACAAAAAACTGACAGGATTTGGAGCCAATGACTGGAGTGGTGGATCTGGAATGAGGTGAATGATTGGTGGAACCAGGATATTATAATTAGGACGCAGGAATCACAAGAACTGGACTAAAAGACAAAGCTAAATATAAACCAGAGCCTGGCACCTGTCTAGGTTAAGGCCAGAAATGGTCCCTGCAGTAAATTAAAAGGTCACGTGGATGCCACGCCCATTGGTAGAACCAACAAAAATATGGAGATAATATGCAGTGTTATGCAGATGCTATTGGGGTGCCCAGTGTAATGTGTTAAAGGCATTCACAATAATTAAGTTTCCAAACAATGCAATGGAGTCTATTCTTTCATATCTAGTGATAGGTAAAATGAGTTAATATGTGTCGTGAAGTATGGTCTTATGAACCACGTACAGGATTTGATCTATATCTTTGGTGAAGAATAAGACCCATGAAGCTTAATTTAACCAGCAGAGGGAGACGTTTACTAATAATAGAACCGGATAGTTTTGCTTCGCAGCGATGAGTCACGGTTTAAACGGTTTATAGCCGTTTTAACTGTTCGTGGATCTTTTCCCCCAATATACTTCTGATTCACATACAATTGACTGAAAATCTTACTGGGCTACTAGAATTTCCTTCTATGTTACAGTAAGTTACGGTGAAATAGGATGAAATAAGGGAACAAATGTAAGTCTCCAAAAACTGAACAGACATAAGCGGTTACTCGATTAAATATTTCATTGACCCCAGCCCCCGCCCCCTATGAATAATGCGGTCGCTGCGTCGCGATGCGCCCTTCACACTAAGGTTAAATTGTCCCTCTTCCCAGGGATACACGGGCAGCGCGGCTGGAGCGATCATTTCATCAGCCGCCCCGTCATCCCTCGCAAATGCGATTTATTATATATTATAGAAGAACTCTGAGTGTGCATGGGTGTAATCTTAATATTTTCCTGTAATATCCTAAAACTTGCTTTCAGAACTGCACTTCTGTAGCACTTCTGTCTTTCCCCTAACAGCTCATTCTTCTCCGGGGTGTTGCACGCCGCATCTCGGGCTTTTCTGCAGGATGCCCGCTGCCGCAGTAAGTCTGGCGCATCTGGCCGCGCTGATCCCGGCTCTCCTGCCGGCTCGCGGCTTCCCTGCGCCATCCAGCGCCGGCGTGTTTCGGGAGGTGCAGAGGCTGACTGAGGACCCGCCACATAGACTGGAAGAGCCAGCCAAACAGGTAATTCAGGACTCATATTGCTTAAGTGAGTCATCTTCTTTCAAACAATACATGTTTTAGATGCTTCCCATTAGGATTTCAATGCAACAATAGCGTTTCAATGTCCTCATGTTTAGTTTAAATAATTACACATAATGAAAAGCTTCAAAATTAAAAATTAAAAAATTAAATTAATTAATTATTAAATGTTCTATAATGCTTTTAACCCCGAATGCAAAAATTGAAGCTTTGTTGCTTTAACTGACTGACGCTGTCTGTAAATGTGTGAGCTGCATAAGGATATCTGCCTGAATTCTTGCCGCGCAGATTGACAATGCCAGCGCCAAATCGATACGATACTCGCAGGACCTCCCACCTAGTTACCGCAATGAAAGTGTTTCTGACAGCAGAGTTGGAAATCTTTCGATTCACACTATGGAGAAGTTTGACAAGGTACAGAGAAGAGCTGCTGGGTTAGATGAGGCCATAAACTCACTGAAGCCATCATTCTCAGTATGTATTAAGCATGTTCCTGTGTGTACGGCAGTATGATGGCTTCAGTGAGTTTAAGTGTCATGTATTATGTATGTGGGAATGCACGTTTTTACATTTGACGGTATACAGGCATGTGAGGTATATGAGTGTGTTTGTGTATATATACTGTATGTGTGTGCGTGTGGGTCAGATATACATTGCATTGTGGGGACCAAATGTCCCCATAATGTGATACAAACCTGTTACTTTGATGCTGTGGGACCCATTTTTTTTGGTCCCCACAAGACAAAATTTATTTTTATAAAAATCTGCAACTGTACTTAAAATGCCAAAGGTCTTGTACTTTGGTTTGTTAATTACAGTTAAGGTTAGGGCTCGGTAGGGGTTAAGGTTTTTATTGCTGGGATAAGGGATTTGCCCATAGCAATGAATGGAGAGTTCCCACAAAGATTTGAGTACAGGTCTGTGTGTGTGTGTGTGTGTGTGTGTGTGGTATCTACGTTTAAATAAATCTATACATGTCTTCAGAAAAGGCATGGATCCTTTGTGACCACAGCTCTTGTTTGTCTCTAGGTGATGGACAATAGGATAGACACTGCAGATGGCCCCAGAAACGTCACCCAGGCCACCCTGCACAGAAATGTCATCCACCATGTGAGTATGATTGGGCACATGGTGCTCTGAAGCTGAGATCATCTGAAGCTGGGATCATCTGAGATCATTGGAAGTTGAGAGCATCATGTGGTGCAGCCTGAAAGGGACAACATTGTTAGGTCAGAGATGCTTTAAGCATGCAGTTGTTCTGGCTTAATTTTATTGTACATGGCTGGTCCATGAATTCATCTTCCAGCCTCTTATGCTGCTCAGCACCATGGGGGCCCTCAGTCTTTCCCAGACAGCACAGGACTTAAGGTGCAGGTCCACTCTGGACAGGGTGCAGCTTCTCGCAGGGAACACAAACACACAGTCACACACTACAGAAGCATCACTTAACCTAACTGCAGGTCTTTGGATTGCGGGAAGAAATTAAAGTTCCCAAAGAAAATCCACAAGACAGGGGGGAGAACATGCAGACTCCACATAGACACAAGGAGAACATGCAGACTCCACACAGACACAGGGAGAACATGCAGACTCCACATAGACACAGGGAGAACATGCAGACTCCACATAGACACAAGGAGAACATGCAGACTCCACATAGACACAGGGAGAACATGCAGACTCCACATAGACACATGGAGAACATGCAGACTCCACATAGACACAGGGAGAACATGTAGACTCCACACAGACATATGGAGAACATGCAGACTCCACACAGACACAGGGAGAACATGCAGACTCCACATAGACACAGGGAGAACATGTAGACTCCACANGGAGAACATGCAGACTCCACATAGACACAGGGAGAACATGTAGACTCCACATAGACACATGGAGAACATGCAGACTCCACATAGACACAGGGAGAACATGCAGACTCCACATAGACACAGAGGGAACATGCAGACTCCACATAGACACAGAGGGAACATGCAGACTCCACATAGACACAGAGGGAACATATACACTTCACACAGGCAGAGCTGAGTTGCCCACAGCCTGAAAAGAAGGCATTTACTCTACAGTTAACATACCTACAAATTCAACCTCCTTGATCACCCATCTATCCATCTTCATCCCAAATGTCCTGCTGAGGATCATTGTATCATGTTAAGCTAATCAGTCTTACTCTTCGAGGTTTTGGTGTACCCTGAAAGGGTAGGTGTGTCTCCTGTGATTGGCCTGCTGAAGGACCATGACTCAGTTGTGGGTGGGCAAGGAGGCTGATTCTGTGGCTGGGTTCCACAATGGAGACCAGTATTTAATCCCCAGTTCAATCCCAGAGGACTGTTCAGGCTATGTCGTCCAAATCTGGTGATGACCTGAAGATATTTCTGTGTGTACAGCTCTGATAGATCTGCCTCTTAACTTCAGGAGACTGGAGCTCAGTCGATGTCCTTTTAGCTCCCCAGTATCTTCAGAAATACCTTCACTTCTTTATCATTTCATTCTGGATCGTCTCCATGGCGTTTGTTTATCAGATTCTTACTCTATTTTTTCTCCTCATCAAAAGCTAAGCAGTTTTTGTCTTGTCTTATTATGCAGGACACATATTTTCAGTGCCCATGGTGCAATGCAGACTGTGTGAGCAGGAATTAGGTTTTTGGCTTGAGCTCACGCTCTGACTTTACAACCAAAATCTGCTCACACTGTCACATAGTTGTCATGGAAACGCCAAGGTCATTTTCATAAACCTGAGAATTTATATAAAAAAAAAATACTATGAAAAAAAATTACTACACTGCATGTTTGTTTTAACATCACATTAGGTATATTACAATTAAGAAATTTGCTGCTCTGATTTAATGTTTTGTTAAACCATTTTCCCCAAATAAGTACCCAAAAATGTCATTACTGTAACAGTTTAAAGGTTGAATAACAGAGAACTAGCTGAAAATGTTTTTCGTTGCATGTAACTCACATTAAATGATGAAGCTGTACGATTTGTATATTTTATATTTTTTTGCTTCATTTTTGGATTGGGTGAAATACTTTTATTACAGAAATAAATGGTAATATAATAAAACTGATTAACTACCCCAGAGGCAAAATTGACAATTTAGACAATGAAGTTCAACAAATTTAATAAACTAATTTTTAAAATGAGAGAAAATTGATATGTTATAGTAATGAGTAAATTGATAGCAAATAAGCAGTGCAGAAGCCTGACTTAGGAATCTGGGGTGCGTCTAAATTTTGGGTCGGAATCAGGAAGTGTGCAGGACGGATCGCTGAGTCCTAAATCTGGTACAGGGCTGGAAGAAAAAATACCTAAGAAAGAGAGAAGCACAGAACCCAGAAAATCACTACAGCAAATGTCTAGTGAAGTTACAAACGTGATGTTCTGCATGAACAGAACTACATATAGACAATGAATTATCAGCAGAGTGAGAAGCCTAGATGTCATGATGTTACAGAACTCAGCCTCACCCACACAGACTGGCCTGCAGTCCCTCTAGCTCCAGTACTAAACTGGTCTCTGCTGGTTCCTGAGTGTACGCACCTGTGCCACATTACCTGCTAGGATACTTAAACCCTTGGGACTGTCACCTTGTTAGTAAGTCCTGTCTCTCTTATGCTGTGGGCTGAGTGTTAGTTTCTCTTCTCGGGTCTCTTCTGTTTGACCCTTTACTTGTCTCCTTGCTCTATGACCTGGATTTTCTCCAACACCTTGTTAGTATCTGATCTTCCTGCGCCTGGCTGATGACTCGGGGTGGTGCAGTGGTGCAGTGGTTAGTGCAGATGTCTGACATCTCTGGGACCAGGGTTCGAGTGGCCACATGGCTCCATGTGTGTAGAGTTAGCATGTTTTCCCCGTCTTGTTGTGGGGTTTCCTCAGGTACTCCAGCTTCCTCCCCTGCAGTCAAAAAACATGCAGAGGCTGATTGAAGTTGCCGAATTGCTGGTAGGTGTGAGTAAATAGTGGGTAAGTCTGCGTGTGATGGTTTGGCACCGTGTCCTGGGTTATTCCCTGCCTTGTAGCTTTTGGGGAGAGGCTGTGGACCCCCTGTGACCCTACATAGGATAAATAGGAACACACACAGTGAATGGATGGAAATAAACTGCATTGGGATCTTCACTTGTGAGTTTCTTGTCTCCATGACACTAAAATGCTGGTAAATACTCCCAGGGCAGGTTTCCCCTGAATGCCGAGGACTTTGAGAGATGACGAGACTGCAGGTCCTGCGGCTGAGTGTGTGAGGTCATGGGAGCTCTGACTGTTGGGCGGCTACTTTACCTCTCGCCAGGATTCAGTTCTGATCTAAAGCCTGTTCCAGCACTTTATATGCCAGAGAGTCCAAGCTGCGTTTGTAATGTAATCTAGTGCAAGGAACGCAGGCGTCAATGGCGCAGACGATCACATTCACCCTCACTCATTCCATGCTGGAAATATACCAACTTACACTCATTCCATGCTGGAAATATACCAACTTACACTCATTCCATGCTGGAAATATACCAACTTACACTCATTCCATGCTGGAAATATAGCAACTTAGTCATTTCATGCTGGAAATACTCCACCTCAGATCCTTTCATGTTGCATAATACTGCCTCACTGTCATTCATTCATTGAAATACCGTAACACTTTACTTGACAGTGCACACATGCTTAGTAATAACTCAGTTGAAGTACAAATCATGAACAAAAATAGTTGCTACTTGAGATAAAAGATGCATCATAATTCATTGATGATGAACAAACATGACTACAGTACTTGTGTTACTTGTACTTGTTCCTTCAGTAGTTCCTTTAATAGTTCACAAAGGGTTGTAGAATTAACAGATATACTTGCAAATTGAGAAAAAATATGCGTCACGATTCATTAATGATGAATTAACCTGAGATCGGTTTGTAACTAAGACTTAGTTCATGGGTAATTAATACATAAGTAATAGCATACTATATTATTTGTGCCCTGTCAAAGTAATACCAGAAATGCTTTATCCTACAATCATTCGGTCCCTCAGGAATTCCATCCTATATTCATTTCTGTTAAAAAGAGCTCTGAGATGTCAGCCTGGTATATGGGTGAGATGGGTGTGCTGTATAGGCTTGCCAGAACCTTCCGTAAGAGCTGACTCTCCGCAGGAGTGCCGGGTGGATGAAGATTGTGGAACTGACTGCTACTGTCTCTACAAGATGCTGCGATCCCAATGCCTGCCCTGCAAGACTGCGCAGGCGGTGAGAGCTGCATCATGCAGTGCATAGATACGTGTTGCGTGAAAAGCTGTCCCAGATTCATTTTGAGTGCTGCAGACTGCATGGGACACGCAGAGAATGCGGCACTAGCAATAGTGTTCAGTGTGTTCAGTACCATGGTATAAAATGTCAACTCTCTGGCGTGACTTAGGAGACATTTAGTGGCAGTGTTCTGTATGTGTGTGTTTGTGGTTTGTTATATTCATGTTTACATTTTACATATTTTGTCCAAAGTGACATACAAGTGAGGCAAATAGCACAAGTACCTAACTGAGTAACTAAGACCAGAAGTGCAACATTAGAACATTATGGGAATTTAAATATGCATCAGGTTAGTAAAGGAATTCATGGGTGTTGAGCCGTTCCTTGGAGGTGCAAGTGTTTTTGTAGGTGAATGTTTATTTCTTAATGTCTGTGATTGTGTGTGTGTGTATTCCTGTGTGTGCCTTTTATCATCCTGTATCTCTGTGTTTCTCTCCATATTTCTGTACTTCTCTGTTTCTCTCTGTATCTCTGTGTCTCTCTCTGTATCTGTATCTCTGTGTTTGTGTATCGTTGAGTTCCTGTCTTTATGTTTCAGACCTGCACCAAAGATGAAGAGTGTTGTGGTGCCCAGCTGTGTGTGTGGGGCCAGTGCACTGAAAATGCCACCAAGGGCACAGCAGGCAGCATCTGTCAATACCAGAGTAACTGCAGTGCTGAGCTCTGCTGTGCATATCATGAAGGTAGAGGTCGTCTCCTCTGAGATTGACTGAGAGTGTCTGGAGAAGTGAATGCAGACTTAACATTATACTAACAAAGCTACAAAATAATAATACACATTCATCATGAAACATTTTTGTCTCATAGAAATAAATCCAACTTTTTTCTATTTAATCAAAGTACATAAAGATGTTGCAATTTCAGTACAGTAAGTTAACCAATAGAGGGTGCAATTTCAATCTGATTGCATCTACCAAAAGTAAGAGACTTAAGATGTAAATCATGGAATGTGATCCCAGCCTGGAGCACAAGGATGTAGTAGCTTAGAGTTTCCAGAATGTTCCCCTATAATGGCTCTTAACACCCCTCACAGGCCTCCTGCTCCCCGTGTGCATGGGCCGGCTTCTGGAGCAACAGCACTGTCATACTCACTCCAACCACTTGGTGGCGCAGTTGAATTGGATCTCGGCGGGAGAAGGTCCCTTGGATCAGTGCCCCTGTGCAGCTGGCCTGTGGTGTCAGTCCCGTGGGTGAGATGCTCCCTCTCTGTAGCATTTGTAGAGTAAATTCGGAAACATCGTCAAACTGGGATTTAGAGGTTCCTTCTTCATTGAAAATGAAGCTGACAAATATGACTTTTGGGGATTCTTGAAAAGCTGCATAAATCTCCTACAAATCTTCTGAGACAGCAGATATCATGCACATAAATCTCAAAAGTACTGCTTTGAATCTTGTTAATTATTACAGAAACCAGGTGGCGGTAGCATTTGTGACAGTGTGAGCAGTGAGTAACATTAACAAATTGTGACTCTGCTCCAGTGGACCTGTAACCTTCTCTCTAGGGTCCACAGCAGTTTATCACAAAGAGCAGCCTGTAGTAGTAGGAGAATATGGCATTATATGGAGCTTCCAGTTGCTTCTATTGAGCATAACAGACTCATAGGTTTCTGTTCTTCGACATGAAGTTACACGTAAAGTGAAGCCTTTAGAGGTTTGGCAGATTGAATCTCCAGACAGATGTTCACGAGGAGACCTCTCTTTCTTTCCCGGTCTGACAGTCAAGGCTCTGTGTGCATCCAACACCAAAACTCCTCCAGTGAAGAAGACCTGACCGAATCCCTCTACGCCGAGATAGATTACATCATCTGATGCCAATCCTGCCGATGGGACGCACCTCTCTGTGTTTCCCATACAAATCTTGTCGTCCTCCATGCCAAGCAGGTCCACACGGCTGTAATTTCTGCACACCTTTAAGTGGCTGATGACCTCAGTTAACTGGTTTAAGTATTATCTATTATTCATCCAACAGCAAAGCATGTGAATTCCTGTCTCTCTCCAGGAAAATATCCTGCTGTATAAACAGGTAAAACAGTGTGTTGCTTTGGATAAAAGCTTAAGACACAATGTACACAGAATGATGTGGCGTCCCTGTGCACCACACGGGTGTCGGCCTATATGTGCTGAAACTTCAGCCTCTGCTTTGCGCTTCCTGTGAGTTCCTGAGTTTTAATCGCAGCTTCCGACCCAAAACAGAACCCAACCCCCAGAGCCGCATGGCTGGTTAGTATGGTAGGTAATTCACACTGGTAGTTTAGATAAATAACATTTGCTGCTTAAACTCTGTATAATCTGTCAAATAAAAGAGTCTCAGGTTCAAATGGCCTTTGAAAGTAAAAAAAAAAATTAGTTAAAAGCGTTAAGTGAAGTTTCCTGGCAGACGCAGGTATTAGAGAATATGTATGTATGTTTAATTGAATGTTCTTCTGCATGTGAGTGAAGAGGCTGCAGTTTTTAGTGCTTGTGTAACATTTCACTGGCTGATGCTAAGGTTGTAGCGCCAGTTTTGGCAGAAAGCCGTACAGCAGGGCTGCCAAGTTCCCTCCCCGTGTCCCCGCAGGTGTGTATGGGGACTGCGCCCTGCTCCCTCACCTCCATGCAGGTCTGTGACCCGTGTTACAGTGGCTGCAGTGCTCTGTATCTGTCTGGATGTTCTCTTTGATGATGATAACACCAAATATCAATGACTGGGAGAAACATCCAGGTCAGAAAAGATTCAGTAGGTTCAGGTGCTTTGTCTGTGTTTAAGGTGAAGGGTTCAAAGCCCTGGGTTGGCAGACTGGGGCTTGGTAAAACGGGGAGCTGTGCTCAAGGCACCCGATCAGGCCAGATAATAGATAATCTGTCAGCTCTTGGCCAGATGGCATGGATGGGAGGTAGGGGAATGGGGCTGAATGTTACCCTGACAGTCGGGGTCAACGAAAATTAACCAGCTGTATGTGGAATAGACCAGGAGAACATAACCTAAGTTAAAGTACAACAAAACATGTAAATTAAAAGAGGTCAGTTTTTATTCCCGACTGAACACTTTTGAGTCTAACTTCTGAACACTATTAGACCCACTTTTATAACACAGTTTAGACCCTATCAGAGGCAGAAAACAAAGCAAAGATTGGTAATTTATTAAGGAAAAATACTCTGCCTGGTCAAAAAAAGGTCACTGTTTGAATTTAAATTAAGTACTTAAGAGCCAATGACTGGATCATTATTACAGCCCAGCATCATTATGCAGCAATTAAGCGAGTACCTGAATCTACTGAGCTGAGTCTCGACCTTAACTCCACCGAAAGTCTTTTAAGATGTGCTGAAGAAGAGTTTACAGAGTGGTTCAACTCATCTATCATCAATACAAGATCTTGATGAAAAATTAATACAAATCTGGATGAAAAAAAAAATATTGAGATGTTGCATAAGTACATGGAAACCATGCATTGACTGTGATTGGATGTGCACCATAATCAAAGCTAAAGGCGGTCCAGTACAATGTTAGTGTGGCTTGGGGGGGCTAAACCTCTGTACCGCAAGTCTGAAGGTTGTTGGGTCAAACCCAGCCCTGGCATCGCTCTGGGTCCTTAAGTAAGGCCCTTTACTCCTAACTCCCTGGGTGATGCTATGCCCTTTGCAGCCAGCTTGCTCTCACCTCCTGAAAGCAAGTTGGGGGGGGGTATAAAGAGAGTTTCTCCATGGGGATTTATTATTAAAGTACGTGACGCTTTTTTGGCCAGGCAGTATATTAAATGATTAACACATGCTGTCTAATAATGTACTTTAATAAGGGCAGTGGTGGCTTGATGGTTAGGGTAGCGCACTTGTAATTGAAAGATTGCAGGTTCGAATCCCCCACCAGCAAGTCACCACTGAGGTACTCTGAGCAAGGTACCGTCCCCAAGCACTGCTCCCCGGGTGCTGAATTAGCTGCCCCCTGCTATGTCACGAAAGTCACATATGGGTCAAATGCAGAGGACACATTTCGTTGTTGCGCACTGTGTGCTGTGGTGTGTTGACAATGACCACTGATCACTAAAATTCTAAATTCTAATAAAAAACTGGCTAAATCTTAGATAAAAATTCAGTGAAGATATTTTTTGGCTAAATTTACTCTAATGCTGCTGGAGAATTGCACGCAAAAGAGCTGCATGAGCTGTCTGTGTAGCCCTGACCCCCCTCGGACCACCCTGACCCCCCCGGAACACCTCCGAGGTCAGGTGACTGCAGGCTGTGTTGTCACCTTCTGCTTTTCTTCGTCTTCCTCCTTCTTGAAATAGTTTGAACAGGGTGTTTACAGTGAGTGTGTTTCTCTAGGTTCACGCTTAACACTGTCCAAAGGCTTTCAGGTACCAGTGTGAGTTATTCTGTAAGGCAGGAATGCTGCTTAGGAACGTTTGCTGATGTTCATTTAGTTTGATGATGAAACCAATCAGTGTCTTGTAATGGACATAAGGAGGATCCTTAAAATCACAGCACATTTAAGGCTTTAAAGGTGAGAAGTGGCATGTTATAAATGTATAAGTTTGCTGGCCCATCATGAGTACTGGGCTAGTAGTGGGTGAGTACTGGGGCAGTGTGTTGTTCAGAGGGTTCAGGTCTGTTTCTGTGTCCAAATGGTTGTGGGTTCAAATCCTGTGGCCAACAAGCAGTTGGATGAAGCCCCTAAGGCCAGCTGCTCCAGGGATGCTGGCTGCCTCTGCACCATGACCTCAGAGTCTGCACACCTGTATGTAGCTTTAGACAAATGCATCTGCTAAGTAAATAAACATACATGTTTCTGCATTTCTGTTCTATTAGAATTCTGTACCAGTTTTCTTTCATATAGCTGTATTCAACAGATGAAGAAAAACAACTTTAGATGCATTTTTAACAGAGGTAAATGTTTGGTCTTCAGTAATTTTAACATTAAGCACTATTCTTTCTGTATTGACAAAAGAACTGCCCAGATTCAACTTAAAGCTTAATAATGAATATCTTGGTAACTTAAGGGCTTCTAACCACATTTTTATCATACAGAAAATTTAATTATGTGCTATCTGGTCCCTAATGTTGTTCACACATGTTTCAAGCTTACAGAGCGGAAATATTTCACTTTTCTTGGCATATGTCTGGAGTTGCTCATTGTGGATGTAGCTGAGGTGATGCAAAGCCTACCTCTGCATTATAAACATGACTATAAATATTTATCACCACGCGTATAAATAAAGTCCTCTAAGGGCACCACGCATATAAATACCGTCTTCTAAGGGCACCACGCGTATAAATAACATCCTCTAAGGGCACCACACGTTCCCTGCTACATGTCCCTAACTGCCACACATTCCGCTGTAGCCACAAGAAGTCTCCCCTCTACAGAATAGGTCCCACAAGGAAGTGTTCGGTAACACATTACTTAAGGCCATGTTTTTAATAACTTATAAACACATTTATAACAAATAATATTGCATTCATAAAGCATTATAAACATGACTATAAATATTTATCAAGAGGTATAACACATTATACCCATGTGAATTATGCATTATGAAGGCTTTATGAAGCTCTGATCTATAATGCACTATAGATACCTTTACAACGCATTATAATGGTAGGCTTAAGCATTAAGGATGCTTTGTGCTGCATTATAAACGTATCTGTAGTGCACTATAGATGAAAGCTTCATAAGGCAGTCATAATGGATAGTAAACATGGCTATAATGTGTTATGCCTTTTGATAAATATTTATAGCCATGTTTATAATGCTTTATGAATGCATTATAATGCATTATGAGGTGGTGTATAAATTACGAAAAACATGCCATTAAGGTAAGTCTTACCAGAAGTTCTTGTTCACATCATCATTCAGTCAATGTAAATGCATAGCCTACCTCTGGTGTTGATCTGCAGCATGTATCGGCTATGGGTGTCTATTTTTAAACTTCCACTCCCTCTTGCTTTTGTGTAAACAGCAATGGTTTTCACAGAAATTAGTAATGGCTTTCAGAGAAGGTGGTGTTTTTAGCAATCCAAGCTGTAAAGTTCCTTCTTTTGATGGCCTTCATCAAGTAAAAAGTAAATTTAATTTATATGGTGTATTTCACAGGCACCACAAAGAGCAGTGCATGATGGAAAGACCAAACAATATAATAAAATTGATAAAGCAAAGCTATATCAATAGCTATATAAATTTATATTTCATATACAGTCATGGCCAAACATTTTGGCTGTGACACAAATTTTGTGTTTTGCAAAGCGCAATCTGTTCTTGCCTTGTTATAGTGCTCAGAGTTGATTACAATTTGTCGACTTCAGCTTGTCCACCCACTTTTTAAGGATTGACCACAGCTTTTCAATGGGATTAAGATCTGGGGAGTTTCCTGGCCACAGATCCAAAATTTCAATGTTAAGATCTCTGAGCCACATCGTTATCACTCTTGCTTTGTGACCTGGTGCTCCGTAATGCTGGGAAATACACAGATCACCACCGAATTGCGCCTGGATCATTGGGAGAAGTTGCTCTTGGATGATGTTTTGGTGCCATTCTTTATTCAATTTAGTCAATCCTCAAAAAGTGGGTGGACCAGAAGAAGCCCACAAACTGTGATCAACTCTGAGCTCTAACAAGGCAAGAATAGATCTCTATCAGTCAGGATTTGGCTCAGAAGCTGATATCCAGCAAACTAAAGCGAACTGCAGAATTTATGTAGAAGACATAAATATAGACACTGTAAATATTGACTCTTTGCACAGAATTGATGTATTTACCAATAACATAAGTCTTTGAAATTTATTAAATGTTTACTGTTCTTCAGTATACCATGAAAACGTAAAAAAAAATCTAAAAATGATGAAGCAAAACAAAAAATTTGTGTCACTGCCAAAACTTTTGGCAACGACTGTACACTAGCTTTGTTTCCCACTGAATACTGTATTGTTCAGAAAGTTAAAAGACAAACAATCTGCAAAATCTTGAATAGTATCGATGGATCAATTAAAAATATCAATTTGCGAATTTAATGTATTTAGTGTTTTTATCTTGGATATTTTGCATTACACTATTCATACCTGTAGCAAACGAGTTTCTCTTGAGGCGCAAAGGCCCCTGGGAAATGTGCTGCCTTGAGGTCTCTGCGATTGCAGCTCTCTTGCGGTGGTGGTGACTAATAGAGGCGTTTGTACCATTAACACACCCTCGAAAACACCTTGTGGCAGGATATCCAGCACGGCACAGCATGACAGAGCAACTGATGAAGACCTACAACCAATGAGAGACGTTACAGGACACTGACCCAACTTGAAAAAGTCATATGATCAAGTTCTTAGAGTTACCTCATCATGAAGCCCAACGAATTTGAAAGCTTTCATTCCAAATCTATATTCCGTCTGCCTGCTTTGATACACCGCAACTGTGTCATCAACAGCACACCTGGGAAATTAATAATCATTATTATCAGAAAGACATAAATTAATCTATACTCAAAATATTTTTCCTTTTTTTAATAAGTCACCTAGGTTCATTGTCACCATCTAAATCTCCCAGAGGTAGACAGTTCAGGTCCAGAAAGTAAAAATCCAGACCAAGATTTTGTTTCAACCAACCAGTTGAGTACTCTGAATAGTGATGGCCAAATGAAGCCTCGTGAACCATGTGGTGTATTTCTTGCCCCCACCAGATGGCGCTCTTGGCTTGCATTGCCGCATGCTTTGAGTCCTTTTTTTTTTAACAGACAGCACCATCTAGTGGGGTCAGAAAATACAGAAAGTGGTTCCCTGAGGCTTCAATTGGCCATTAGTGTCTGTGACTGTGGCTTTTTATACTCAAGTAGTTGGTTGAAACAAAATCTTGGTCTGGATTTTTACTTTTGGGTCTGTCCAATTCAGAAATTTCCTACCCATTCTCAATGATGCTGTAGAAAGTAGGGTAGTTGGGGTCGTCATATGGAGTGGCTTTGCAAGTCTCCACAAAAAGTTGAGTGTTGGGGAGGGTAGTGGTTGCTAATATTTCCATGTAGATCATCTGGTCCAGGTTCACCTCCACTGGGTAGGTTTTGGGATCCACTATACTGCTGAAGAGACTGCTCCGGAAGAACTCAAACTGATAGGTGAATGTGCCAAAGCCCTTCTCCGTGAACACATAGGGAAGCTTGTGGGCTCTGAATTCAAAAGAAACGTTGCCTTATGCAGGTAGACGCACGAGAAGCCAATCCTCACTTCGTTTTTCCTTGTTATGACACCAAGACCATTCTCAAAGGATACTATTTCATTTTTGAAAATCATGTTTTCATTGTCCTCCTGTAACAATAACCAGATATGCTGGCTGAATGTTCCACAACCATAGTACCACACCAAGTTTTGAAAATGGAAAAAAAATCAAAGGCCGAACTTCACCTCCATCTCTGTGCCACAGGTGTTGAGTGATACTGTGCTAATCAGATGCGTGCCATTGGAGGTCAAAGTGCAGGATGGATCCTTCAGATGCAAATGGTCCTCATGAATTCCTGGGAGGGAGGACTTCTCTACCTCAACAGTCATCATTGCTTCATTGCAAATCACATAAGCCTCACCTGCAGTATAAAGTACAAAGAGCAATTTGTACTCCTGCTCTTAAGATTGGCAAGGTAAGAACTGTTAATGTGTGAATGAAACCAGGTGATTAATATAAATCTTATTACATAATGGCTCTATGTAATAAGTACTAATCTATATAAATATATAAGTAATATTAATCCTAGCAATAGAATCAAACTGCTTTTATCTTCTTTAGGTGGTGCCATATTTCAAATGAGATAAATAAAAAAAATACTAACCAAACTTTTGTCCAACAGTCACAATGATGCATCTCATCTCCGAGTCATAGGCTGTGTTGTACCTGGGTAGGTTACAAGATCATAATAAATTAATTCAGATATTGTTCTCGACTTGCTCAATTCTGTAAAACAGTGTTTCCTAATCCAGTCCTCAGGGACCCACAGCTGGTCCATGTTTTCGCTCCCTGCCAGACAGCCCACATTTTTGCTCCCTCCCAGGAGGGAGCAAAAATGTGGTCTCCCTGTGGGTCCCTGAGAATCACTGCTGTAAAACATAAAGACATTTTTTTTTTTACAGAAGATGATAACCTGAGCAAACATGTGCCTATTTCATTCTTGTGAAGACAGGATTACGTTCAGTGTATGGAGACTCACCCATACTCGCCCTCTGCAATGAAGCAGATGGGAACATGGTCTCCAAGGTCATTTTCCGTGGGAGTCCATTTAACGACGGCCTCAACAATGTTGTCATGAAAGCTGACCTGCCTTGTGATATTCAGTGAGCCACTAATAAGTATGTTTCTTACCCTGTGCAAAAAGGAAGGAGAAAACAAGATCTACATTCTACGAAGATCTTTGCAAATTTGTGGAAAGCCTTTTCACAAAAAAAGAATATTTGAAAAAGATCTACATTTAAGACATGAATTGATCCTTGTCTCTGCAGACATTCCACGCATCTCATCCCTACAACATCAATTTGACCACAGCCCTCCCAAGCTGAATAAGGTGAAAAAAGTAAAGAAGCAGGCAACATCAGCATCTACTCGTGACCCAAATGGTGTGGCATCCTGTGTATATAAATACCCATGACATCCAGAAATTTCTCTGTATGGAAAAAAAACCCAAATCATCCAAAGAGTATGGCAGAGAGCAGGGAGCGTGCAAATTCCAAAGGAAAAAAATCCCTGTATCACTGAACAGTTTCGTCAAATCATGTCATCAGTCTTCTGAATGTGGAAGAAAAGATAATTGTAGTGGAACGGAGGCTCTCATGCTACCTGAAACAGATTTAATTCAAACAAATGTAATCGATCATTTCAAAAACATATAGGCAGTTTCTCAGGATCCCTAGAAAATACAAGTGTCATATGGCAGCAAATCCAGGAAGAGATCTACAAGGTTTATTAATACACCTAACTAAGGATACATCCGCTTTAGTGGATGGCATTCCTGTTCTTCTAGGTACCTGAGGCCACAATAAATTTGGTCAAGTACTATTTTGAAGATCTGCAGTTCTGTTTGAAAACACCAGACTTCACTACAGAATGGAAACTACTGGATAAATGGCTTTCCCCATAGTGATGGAGTTGATCATCAGATTGAAACCTGTGAGCTCTAAATAAGAAAAGATCATCTTGTTTAACTGCTAACCTCCACTGGTCAAGGCAGACCTGGAGCTTTTCCATGGAAGCCTGGATAACACTTTGGGCACAATGCCAGGTCATAGCAGGGCTCACGCACACACACACACACACACACACACACACACATACATTTGTATTCATATGTTTGTGGGGACTCTACATTCATTTCTGTGGGAAAAGTCCTACCCTCAACAATGGCTACCCAGCCCAACCCTTAACCATAAGCAACAAAACAAAACACAAGAATTTTGGCATTTTTAGTTTTTTGATTGCATTCACAGGGTTTTATAAAATTTAGTTTCCTCTTGAGGGGACCGCGATAATGTCCTCACAAGGTCAAAATAACGGATATTTATCACATTTTGACAACATTTGGACCCATGTAATATTTTCAAAACCACACACAATTATGCACTGCGGGTTATCTCACCAATCCCCATGTTTTTGGACTGCAGAGGGAGGCCAGAAAACTAGGAGGGAATGGCCCCCATCATGGGGAGAAACATGCAGACTCCACCCACTCACACAAGGGGGAGGAGCCAAATCCTCAACCCGGGAAGTTTGTGAACCCCCCAACTCTGGAAATATGCAGTGAGAATGTTCCTACTTGAGTTAGGCTTGCTTTTCTTTAAATTAAGTGCTTTATGAAGGAACATACATTTTCTTATTTTTTCCTCTACAGTCAATCTCCACTGACCAGTACAACTGAAGTACTGAAGAGTTTCTAATAAGATAATTGACCTACTCTGCATATATTGCAGTAGCATTGATTCTGAACTCCAGGTCCTGAGCCACAGAAGCTCTGAGATATTCTCCATTTCTGGGAGTTGGATACAAAAACTGCGGAATATATTCTCCTTCGGTACAGGAAGGAACTGCTGAGTTAACTGAAAAAATAAGGGAAAAAGTCATTGTTAGCACAATGAAGTAGCAACATAGTTATGGAATTAGATGCTAGTAATATACATAACCTGTACGATAAACTGGAGAGGAATCTTGCTCAGTGGAGCTGTTGCTAGAGCAGCGGTTGATGTTGTGCTAGTGGTAAACGGATGCTGCCACCACCGCGCTGTTTTAGCTTGGCTGGTGTTACTGGTGTGAGCAGGGACTGATGAATTTTGTTGCCAGGCAATAAAAGATGGCATGTAATTATAGGGCAGACTGGTTGGGGAGGAGGCCTGATTCCAAAATGGTGGTACCGTGGTCTGTGTGTAGGACGGCTGAGATCTTCTGAGTAATAGGGGCGATTTTACAGTTGAAATGCCATTCATGTGGTGTAGCGTGATGGGTTGAGTGGGGAAGTCCTCCAAGACCAACTCAAAGGTGTGGGCTCCAGAGACTGAAGAGATCTTATAGTCAAGGGTGCAGGAATGCTGGCGAAAGAAATGTGTGAATTTCAGTGATGAATGAAACAATTCCGTGCATCTATGGGAATTACATACCAACAAAGAGTATGAAGTGTTTTTATTAATGATGTAATGGAAGAATGTTCTCTACTGCAAACGGGTGCCAGCAATACAGCAAAACCATAGGGACCTGTTATTGAAACCTTTGTTGCCTACAGTACATATATGGAATATAAGACACTGTATATGTTATTTGCTTGTGGACTGACAGAATGAAAGATCACTCCTACCTCATCGAGGTGGAAATCTGGGTGTTGGTAACAAGTCCCACGCTCAGCATATTGGATTGTTCCATATCTGCATCTGACGTGGTCTTCATCTGGATCATGAGCCAGCAGGTTGACTCTCCTTGGACAATTCTGAGGAATGCTGAGAAATAATTTGAAAGGATTATTTTTACATGTTATACCGCTAAGCATCATCATTTAATTCATTTGGTATTTATATGTACAGAGCATCTCATATATACCACACAGCAGGTCTAATATTGACACATTTAACATGTACCCTCTTGTTCTAATTTTAAAAATTAGAATAGAAAGCCAGGAACTGAATTAAAATTGATTAAAAAAACACAATTAAACACAGGTAAGGCAGAGTTTTGCAGTTTTATTTGCAGTTCTCAAGACTGGGTAAATTGGACGTAGCATGAGAAAACCTGACCAAACGCTGAGGTCACTGAACCGATCGAGGCAAGATTTATATGGACTGTTGATGACATTCAGAGCTTTGGAAGTAACGTTGCCCGGTGGCAGGACTGTGCAGAATGCTTGTAGTGTCGAGAGAAATCAACAACGCAATTTCTGTAAGTCTGAGTTTGTGTGAATAAAAATCTGTGTTTTGTTACAATGTTGTGACCGTCAGGAAGTAAACAAGACCATGTTTGTGAATGTTGTGCAAGTTGTTTAGGTGTTTAAGCATTTTTCAGCTTATTGTCCTATTTTCGTATTATTATTTTAATGGGGCGTGGTGGCTGTGGGTTAAGCAATCTTTGATTTGCTTAGTAGAGAGAAAATCAGTGAGGGAATTATCTGATACGCGGCCTCACCGGATAAGAGGGACGCTTGTGGGGACGGGGACGCTTGTTGGGTTTCCTGGTGTCAGATCTAGTACCAAGATCCACGTGGGTCAAAAGGTTCCAGGAACCATCGTTATTTTCAGCAAAGGTCCAGCAGCAGCTTGCCTCACTGTAATACAGAAGATAATACAGAAGTCATTTGTTATACGATCATTTTGTGTTTATTATACTCTTTTGTTGTGTAAAACTTACCGCATTTCAAAAGGTGTATCGGTTGGAATGCTCTTAGTGATTAATGTTTCAGATTGACACCATATATCGGAATAGGAACCCTGGACACTGGAATCCAGCTGCCCAGTTTCATATCTGCTATTGCTGCCGCAGTTCCCATTGGAACAAAACCAGATGTGTTGGGGATAGCAGTAAGATGAATGATAGGCTTCTTTGTATTGGAAATCCACCTGCAAATAAAAGTAATTCGTTTAATGAACAAGTTTTACAGGTAATTTCCATCCAGGGGTTTATAGGTACATATCAAAATGAAAATAGAAAAGAGAATATGTATATTTATCTAAGTTTATTTGTGTGGTTAATGTTCACGCCACGTTGTTGTCTTTGACAAATTCAATATGCTGTTTCAAACATTCAGCTTTAAGAACTATCCCAAAAAAATCAGCTTTCCTTATAGAAAATGACAAAATATTTGTGTTATATTCAGTTTTGTGCAGTTTTTTAAACCGGATGACATGCATCAATTCTGTACAATATTCTATATCATATTTTTTTTTGCACCTCCTGACCCAACACATTGCTGAAACTCTATGCTATTGAAGCATATTCATGCATATTTAAAAGGTATTTTGGTTAAAGATAAAACTTCAGTAGCAGTGAGCACTGAGTAGAAAAACAGTGATCAATTAGTAAAATTAGTAAATAAAATTAGTAATTAAATTAGTAAATAAAAATACATTACTTACAGTGGTGCTATAAAATTGTCATTATAGGCTTTTTATTGTTTTAAGTTTATTGCTAAGTAACAAGATTACGCTGAAATAGGTGAATATCATGCAATGTTAGGGGATATTGTGCAAAACACTTATCATACTAAAAACTACCAGCCTGTGACAGCTGCACAGTGAGCATCAGAACTGAAGAGTTACAGAGGAGTGAATGCGAATCCTGACGATGTAAAGTTACACATTGGCGGGATATAAAGTGAAGAGCAGGTCTCACCCTCAGAGATCCATCGGGGTTGCGTCCTTTGGGGGTAAAGGTCATGACCCCCCCATAGTAGTGGGCCGCTGAGGTGCTGGACACCAGCACCAGCTGCAGGATGATGCAGAGCATGATGGAAACCCGTTGGTCTTTTACCTCTCTGGCTTTTATACACTCTCTTCATAGTGCATAATTCGCTGGAATGAGGAAATTCTCAAAAACAAAAAAAAACAAATCCTTCAGGTATATTAATCTTTTGCTGGGAAATATTTTGCTCCCACAGGAATTTTCAAAAAAGAAGGTGAACAGTTAAGCATGAAATATTTCACTACAATAGAAACAGCAAAAGATGCAGAACTGGTTTTGGTACCGTGAAAGATATTTTGACATTATTGGGTCAACCTTAACTGCTAGCGTGAACGTGACAGCTTCCGCGGAGGCAGTGTTCGTGACCTTGTCTCCGTGGCTGAGGGAGGACAGCGGACTTCTGCGGAAGCGAGGGTGAAAAACAGCTTGATGCACCTGGTGACCTAGAAATCAAAAGGGCAAATGGAGAATTAGAAGAAATGCCAATTCTAAGAAAAGTCTTACGTCTAAGGTTGTGATCAAGCTGTTAACCAATAGTTGAAGAGAAAACAACCTTTCTACAGGAACCAGAAAATTGTTTTCCCCGTGTTTCCCTTATGTTTATTTGTGCTTGTCACCTTTTTACACATTTCTGACCACTTCCTTATTCAGTCCACTTTATCCCTCCATAGTCTGCCTTTGTCTTTTCCTCCTGGAAGCTCTAGCCCTTGCATCCTTCACTCTCTCCCCCACCTGCTGCTCTGCGTCAGTCTCCGCCACCTTGCCATCTCCTGAGGACTTCTCCTCTAATGAAGCCTGAGATGCACTCTGCTCTGTGCTTACCTCATGTCTCGACACCTTCTGTCCATTGTCCTCCAGACCAGCATGCTTGCAACCCTCCCATCCTTAGCTCTCCAGCATTACCAGTGCAAAATGGACAAAGCTCAGGATGGCTGAGAGGAAATGGCACCGAACAAGACATCCCATGAATCCGGCCGAGTACCAATCATTCTATTATGATTCTCTGTTTCCATCTAGGTGTAACGGTAGATGACCAACTGTTCTTTGCAGAGCAAATAACAGCACTAATATGTTTGATAAGAGCAAGTCCACCTCAGAAGTGGAGTGGTCTAGTGAAAGTCCTGACTTGAACCCCCATTGAGATGTTGTAGTGGGATTTTCAATGGACAGTCATAGTTGAAGACCCTCTAATGAGTCTGATTTAAAACAACTCTGTAGAGAATAGTGGGCCAAAACTATCCTTCTCCATAAACACTCTCCACTTATGGCAAGAGCTTGACTCATGTATTAATTCATTTGAATAATTTAATGCAGGAATCATTCTTGCTCCAGAAACACTTTCACACCCACACCACGCCTGATAAGAAACAGGAAGGAAACGGAACTCAACTTCCAGATAGACGCAGAGCCTCTCACAAATGACACAGGGCTGCATTTCAGCCTCGGAAGCCAGAAGCTTCAGCTTCACATTCCGCAGAGGCTCAGACTTCATATACCGTCGGTTTTAGTTTTCTCAGCGTTTTCTTTTAGGGGTCTTCCCTCGTAGCATCATGACGTTGACCTGTGGGCTGCTCTGGGAGTCGGGGAGGGGTGTTTTACAGCCTTAACACACACAGCAGGACATTCCGGGCACATCCCCCGAGTCACAGCAGGACAGGAGCTGTAATGGGCCTTACAACCAAGTCTTGGGTATATAAGGGGGGTTTACATGTCTTGGACCAGTGTAATTTGCCAAAAAAGATGAGCAGTTAACATGGGCTTACTTATCTGTGGCATGTTCTGGGAAACAGAATGGATCTTCTTCTGTTCTGGTGCATGATACTGCCCTCCAGTATAGATACTGGAAATACATTTGCCAGCATTTCTTCATAAGTCCATAGATAGATGAATGAATAATAGATGGATAGAAAAATGAATTAAAGTCAATTGGAGGAAAATAGAGAGATGAAAAAGAAGGGGTGAAGGAGGATTAAACAAATGAAAGGTGGTTGAATGTGCTTCAGCTGTACACTGGATGCCTTTAGAATGTTTGGAGGTTTTATGCTGAGGATTGACTGAATGGGAGCAGTTTGAAAAATTTACAAATACAAGTTTATGGGAAAAATTTGACAGAAAGAGGGATGCGGGTGGAATAACAAAAAGAAAAATACAAGCACATTTCTTCTTCTTGAGTGGAACATTTGAGAGGGGGAACAGCTTCTAGGTGAAAGACTGTAGGAGGAGACAGATGCCAAAGTTTGGGGAATAATAATAATAATAGTAATAATAATAATAAATATGTGAGAGAACATAGTGATTTCTGTGCACAGCCACCACAATAAGAAATGATTGTAGAAGATATTATGTTTCCTTTAGAGAAAAGGCACACCAACCTTATTGACTCGACTCTTTTATTTCCTGTTTCGCCTGACGACATACCATGGACTACAAACTTCCCCATAGACCTGACATTGTTTAGCATTATTTTAATAATTTCAGTGTGCAGTTTCAATTTTGTGCTTTTTACAGAATTGTTTTCAGAGGGAATAGTTGAATGCAAAAATGTGGACAAGCACCTAAAAAAATTACGTTTTCTAAGGAAAGACGAAATAATTACACCTATGAGCACAAGGTTGTGAGATGTAAGTATGTTTAAATTATATTAGTTATGGACGGGTATTTTTATCTTTGGGAGGGATTCTTTAAATTTGGCTTAGTGGCGGTGGGACCCCCTCATGTTATAAATGTTACACTCCTTTTGTGACTTAAAGTGCAGTGTTTTCCATTTACCGACAGCTGTAGATGTTTAATTGGAGAGGATGACACGGCTGTCTGAACACAGTGTATAAGTATGAAAGCCTCCCTCTGTGAAGCCCATTTTCACAGGGTCTCGTAAAGCAGCTCACTTGCCATGGCTGTGAAACAGGGCAGGATGTCCCGAATGGCTCAAATTTTTATTTTAGTCTAAATTTTTGTTTCATTTTTTTATTTTCCTTTCAATTTTCGATTTACATATGCCATTATAATGCCATTTAATCTGTTCATTTTCATCATGTTTAAAGACATGCAAATACCCTGGTCATGAGAAAAGAAAATCACAAAGATGTTTCTAGAAAGTTCTCCTGCAGATGCTTATGCATTGTTTAAAAATAAGGCAAAAAATTATATTTAATCAGGGTTTTTCAATTGTCTCTTCATAACAAGATGGATCTGAGATAAAGAGAAAGAAATTGGCAAGAAATAAATCAAAATACCATTTTAAACATCCGAACTACACAAACACCCCATCTGGTGAGTCTGCCTCATTATTTCATGTGTGTAAATATAGATTACTATCACTGCCTATGACAACAGATTTGTGTCTCTGTGACCTTTCTGTTATCTGGTTCTATCACACTTCTTATGGTTTCACAAAGAGGATAAAGGTTAAAGGCAGCCATCTGAATTTACAGGCTGTTTTCATTGCTGGTTTCCTTAGTCTGTCCTGTAGAGGCTGCATATTCTTTGGTTCTGAGCTGTGAATGAGACAGACCCAGCAGGAGTCTATAAAGAGAACAGCATCAGTCTGGTCTGTAAAGATTTTTGTCTTTGGATGAATAAAGGTAGAAACCCTGCTGATAGCCACAGACCCTTATAAACCAGCCCCATCCTTTAAGGAGGGACCCGGGTACCTTCATAAATGCCCAGGGCTGTCAGAAACTGTCAGCCTTCTGTAGGATGTGAGAATCCTCACTGGAGATGCTTTTTCTCTGTTTGCAAATGCTGCCCCTGCTTTGCGTTTGGGCAAATCTCTTTGCTGCTAATTCCCAGGTCGCGGCAGGTGAGCTTGGGGAAGAATTTCCGGCAGAAACTGGATTTTGAGTGAAGATTCCGAAAGGAACTATATTTCTGTCATCTGTCTCAATTCTCAGGTGTGAAGTGTGGTTTTCCGCAGGAAGAGAATATTTTGAGCCGCTGGTTAAGAATCGTGGGCGGGAAAGAAGCCAAATATGGATCATACCCCTGGATGGTATGTCAGTGTTCATATCAGATGTGCATCGGAGCCAGTATGGGCGTGATTCTGTTTAGATGCTACTGAGTCTTTCTTGAAACCGGTTTCCTGCAATGATGAGTGTAGTCTGGCTTGTTCAAGGTTTCCGTGAGGTCAAAGGGAATCCACTTCTGTGGAGGTGCTATCCTCACTGACCGCTGGGTCCTGTCCGCTGCTCACTGCTTCTCCACTCATTCGAAGTGAGTAGAACCTCCTGCTTTCTGCAGAACTTGCACAGGCAGCTTCAGACTCCTTTTCTGACTTCTGAGATGTACTTTTGCATGCTTTTATAGGGAGTCCCTTAAGAACATTGACCTTGTGGTTGGGGAGCATGACCAGACAGTTCTTGATGCTGATGAGCAAGTTCTCAATGTTGAGGCCATCAAAGTTCATGAGAAGTTCCACCACTCTAGCCCAATGAGCTATGACATTGCACTTTTGCTGCTGGTCAGAGAAATCCACTTTGGTAAGTGCCTTCAACAGAGACCCAAAAAACGGCTGAGAGGTTCACATGATGGACCCCTTGCACTACCTCAGTGTGGAGGAGACCCAATGCCTCATGGAAATGGTGATTCAACGCAAAAAGCAAAAATGAAAAAGAGAAAAACACCCTCACAGGCTGCAGCTCTCCAGACAGTCCTACAAACCTGCTGATTCTCAGAAAAATCTTTAATCCTGTTTAGAAGAGAAAGAATATCTTTATTGTCATTGTATGTGCTCAATGTGCTTTCACCACCAATGCTACATATATACATAATAAACCTGAATAAAGAAATAATAATAATAATAATAATATAATATGGAGAATTAGCTGAAGAGGGGACTAGTGTGATCACACATATTGGATTTAGCTGTGTTAAAAGTTCACAGTAACAGCATTAACATTGAGGTTTTACCGTTGTGAATGTTGTGTTTTTCTGACGCTGTTTCATGAAGTTATTTCCGCCACAGGACCACGGGTCCAGCCCATATGCCTTCCTCTCCCCAGTGAGATCATTCCAGCGCAGACAAACTGCATTGTGACTGGATGGGGTCGAATTAAAGAAGGTAAGGCTCACCTCCTCCGTACCGAGACAGGCACTGTGGGAGCCAATCATAAGACAGGCACTGTAGGAGCCAATCATAAACCGCGTATGACTGACTGCAGTGAAGGGCCTGTATCCCCTAGCAGCATTTGGACTACTGCGACACACACACACACACACACACACACACACACACACACAGGATATCCTCCAAGAGCATTTAAAGTACCTCATACCACCATTTTTTTCATAAAATTTTATTTTCTGCATGCTAGCTGGCACTCTGTCGTCTGAGGCCTTACTACGGTTGGCCAAATGACCACTGCTCTTGTCTCATTGGTCCTGCAGGGGGCTGCACTCCCGCCACCCTCCAGCAGGTGGATCTCGAGCTGCTGGAGGCACACAGGTGCCAGCATGTCTTGAAGACGGTACGGCCAGTGGTGAAAGGGTTCACAGTGGTGTGTGCTGGTCCAGAGCGTGGGGGAAGAGACGCCTGCCAGGTAAGCGGTGCCCCAGCGGGCACCATGGCCCTGTGTGAAGAAGACGGTCACATGACTCTCTCTCTCTGTGTCCAGGGAGACTCAGGAGGGCCACTGGCCTGCCCTGGGGTGGATGGCCGTTGGGTTGTGGCGGGGGTCACATCCTGGGGCAAGGGCTGTGGGCGGAACTGGGCCAGTAATGGGGGGAAGCCCCCAACGAAGCGAGGGTCCCCTGGGGTGTTCACTGACACCCGGTTGCTGCTGCCCTGGATCAAGAGCATCATCAGACAAGGTATGCGGTCCAGCGGGTGCTGTCCATGCAGCCTCTCAGAGGCGGCCCTTTGAAAGTCACCCTGATTCACTCCCGAGAGCTCAGCCCCAGAACCTGCAGCGCTGTTACCCAGGACAATACTACCCGAGCTGCACGGAAAACAGCACAATGAGACGCTACAGATGTGACAGTGTAGGTTTAGTACCTTTAAAGGACACATTAAAGTAACAAATAGGACTTTGTGAACACCTTTTAGGTGCTGACATTGAATACAGAAATAAACAAGCATTTCTGAAGCCTTCTGTTTTAAATCAGGATTGTCTCCAGATTATTTCAAAGGGATGTTTTCTCACAATGTGGTCATTACAGATTCATATAATTAATGACACTAATTAACAATGTTGCTGCAATTCTCCTTCAAATATGGCATAATGGGTAAGTTACTACCAATATGGTCAGTAACACTTATATGCTTATATGCTGTTTTAGATGTGCAAGCAAACAAGGAATTATCATCCTCATCACCATCATCACTGTCATCTTCATCATCAGGTTAGTGGGTCTATGCCTCTGCACATTATCTCGGTGCCTCGTGTGGCACCAAACACTCAGCATCATTCAGCATCATCATTTGGGTTATCATCCTCCTCACTGAGGTCCTCATACTCACCTTGTGTTTCATCTCGAACCCGTGTCAGACTTACCCAGCATTGTGATATGCTCCACCTCTCAGGGCCGTGTGGCGTCCCGGATGGGGCTCTGACAAGTGACCGCGGTGTCATTAGCAACCCAGGGGATTCTGGGAAAAACTACAGCAACAACGAGTAGGTGACCTTCAGAAGTAACAATGCACGGCTCACTGCACCTTTAGCTGTTTGAAATGTCTGGCTGTTTTACCTCACGCACACACACACACACACACACACACACACACACCCCAGTCATTTGGCGGTAGCTTTAGACTCACAGTTCAGGTCAGAGCCAAAGCTAAGGCAGGGCACTGTTTTAAAATACAGAGATGGACATTTCAGGTCCAGAAAGTAATAATCCAAACCAGGATTTTGTTTCAACCAACCAGTTGAGTATAAAGAGTCACAGGCACAGAGTACTCAACGGGTTGGTAGAAACAAAATCCTGCTTTGGATTATTACTTTCTGGACCTGAAATGTCCACCTCTGTTTAAATATAACAATGAATTTACTGTATTCTAACATATACATGCAGTATACATGTATAGCAGGGAAAGTCAGATATATTACTCATCAAATGTATTTATTTGTAGAGGATATCACAAATTCAGTTTTAACTAGTTATAATGCCAATTCTTGACATCGGAAATTCTATTTTAGCTAGTGAGATTCAAAACATTTTTCTCATTCATTTCAATGGGAGTTGGAATTTGAACAAGTTAAAATCCCGATTTCTGATATCAGGAATTCAATTGTAACTAGATATCATTAAAATTGAATTACAGATAGTTACAAGTAAATTCCTGCTATCAGAAATTTGATTGTGAACTAGTCAAATTTTTATTTATGATATCAACAACTGGCATTTTGAGTAGTTAAAACTGAATTCCTGATATCAGGATCTCCGGTCTCCTCCTACACAGGCTGTGTTCCTGGGTCTTCGTGGCCCCCCCTGGGCATGCCGTCCTGCTGGAGTTCCTGAACCTTGATGTGGAGTCGGACCCCCTCTGCTCCCGCGATCAGCTGACTGTCCTCACTGGCCCTGGCCAGGTCGTCGGTGAGAGGCCAGTGCACTTTCAAAGGAGAACCGATCCGAGACCGGTGCTGACACCCAGCACCCAGAGGACCGCATCCGGATGACTCACAATTAACCTTTAACCCTGGTGCCATGGCAGGACGGTTCTGCGGCCATGAGCTGCCCTCGCCGCTGCTCATGCCCACACGCAGTGCCACTCTGCAGTTCACGTCAGACACCAGTGTTACGGGGCGAGGTTTTTCTGTCCGATTCACTGCCGTCAAGCCAGACCCCGGGATGGGTACGTAGTCATGGCCATCCGAACTGCGCTAGAAATTCTCCCTCTTCCTGTTGGGAAGGGCTGATGCTTAGCTTCACCTTTAGCCACTGTACTTGCATGTACACAGAAAAGAATGTCAGGTGTGTATAGAGGGGTGTGGCCAAACTCCCAAGCTGAAAGCTGATTGGCCACCAGAATGATCCTCCCCTGTCACTCACGATTCAAAGCACATCATTGGCTAATAATAAGGTCGGGTTCTCCTGTGCTTGAATCGCTCCTGCTTGTCTCAGGCTCTGGCTGTGGGGTCACAGCTCTTCTCCAAGATGAAGGCTTGGTCCAAACACCCCAGTACCCTGAGTGCTATGGCAACCAATCTCGCTGCCACTGGGTCATCCAAGCCCCTAAGGCCCACGTCATCAAGGTAAGGTCACCTCAGATGGCCGTGTGCTGGGCGATGGACCGCCGCTTGGCAGAGTGGAGAGCCAGAGTGCCGTGCTGTTTTGCAGCTGGAGTTTACCGACTTCGACGTGGAGCAGTCGGAGGGCTGTGTGTACGATTCGCTGACAGTGCTGGCTGACGTTGACGGGACGGAGAAGATAGGTACAGACCTTCAGACACCCCAGCCCAGGCAGCCCTGCAAAGTCCTGGTGTCACCATTCTCACCTTTCTTATTCCCCGTTTTGGTATAATCATTGGGCTTTCTTAGAGACATTTACATCCATCCATCATATATTAACCTTTCATCTAGTCAAAATAAATAAAATGAAATTACATTCACATGAATAATGTATTCACCTGTACATGTATTTATTCAGCTGCCCATTATTCCTATTTGTCATTAATATCATGATTCAAATCTGAAAACATCTGTTTGGCATCTGTGTGTATTTGCACTTTCTTGGGGGAGAGGCTACCTGTGGCCAATCAGAGTGCAACATAGTATGACATATACATGATGCGTTATGTGTGGTACTGTGACACAGGATCATTTAAAGGTGAGGATATTAAAAGTGAGGATATCTTAAAGGTAAGGATATTAAAAGTAAGGCTATTACGCACATGGACATGGTATCTAGAAACAGCATCAGTTATCGTGTGGTTCCAGGTACTGCTGACATGCCCCCTCCCCCCCCATAGCTGTGCTTTGCGGAGGCACCCGTCCACCCCCTGTGCTCAGCTACGAGAACCTCATGGTCCTTCAGTTCCACTCTGACGGCAGCGTCCAGCATCGTGGCTTCCAGGCCCGTGTGTCCTTCATCAGCCGACAGGGTGAGGGGGCCAGGCGGAGGGGAGGGGCTTATCCAGGCATCACTGATGAATTACGTGAGGCAACGGACGGCACCGGGATGCCTGGGCTCTTTGTGTCCTGATCTGGGCTCTCTGACCCAATCAGATCTGCAGATGGGTGATGAGGAACGTGGCAATGGCAGACATGGATCTCTGGATGTCTCCCAGCCCGGTATGTATGCACAGACCCTTAGGATAAATATCTCGGATGTGCTACAAATTTGTTCCTAAGAAAAACTCCGGCTCTGTCTTATGTACTTGCTATAATCAAACACCATAGTTTTGAGACTCATTTGGAATGAAGATGAAACTTTTAAAACGTATTACCACAACTACTACTCCAGCAATTACTACAGTATATGCCAGTAATAATACTCCTCCCATGTAGATTACAAATAATGCTACTACAGGTCGCCGGAGTTTTTCTTAGGAACAAATACTCCTGTTGCTGACACTACTATTGTTACAGTACCTCCCCTTCTGAAACTACTAATACTATAATTACAAATATTTATACTGCTGCCACTACCACTTCTTGGAGTAACTGTGAATATGAGGGTAAGTGTGACCTGACCTTTATGTTCCCATAATTCTGCTTCCTTTTTCACTCATCGACCAGTTCCAGGGCCTTCGGATTTAAGTCTGTTAACTATTATAAGCAGCACTTTCAGGTGTTACAGAAGACAGATGGAATTATCTGTATATCATTTATGCGTATTTGCTTATATTTCTATTCCTAGATGATTTGTCTGACGAAGGTGATGATGACTCCACCCCTCATCCTGGCCTGGATGATTGGCCAATCAGTGACGTAGATGAAGACTCCCCTGATTGGATGGTAGCTGGTTCACTTGGACTTAGTTAGCCTGATGCTGGTTATAATTATCTGAAGCATCATTTAGTTGTGAGTTCAGAAGCCTTATTTTGTGTGTGTGAAAATTATAGTTAGAAATCTAACCTCCACTTCTGGGGTATGATTGTGGAAAGCCCATAGCTACTTTCATGAGTTGTGAAAATTATGCAGAATCCTTATGAAAGCCAGGAATGAATACGAACACACTACCCTTGTTCACCGTATGATACTGCCAGCTAATCTCCAACATAAACTGTACTTTTTCTAACTGTTAATGCTTTAAACAGCATGTCGCTTGTAGTAAAGACCATGTCCCACTCTTGATAAAAGCTTAAAAGAAGCGTAATGAAACTGTTTTACAAAAAAAGTATATATTAGTCGGTTTATTTGAAAAATAAGCTCTCCAATAGTTTTTCCTGTAAAAAGATGCTACAGTATTTCTGTTATCACATCTACTCTCTCACTCACATTACTTACTTACTTTACAGAACAGCACTGCAGCACATTAGTACCAGAATACTCTGTCACTGAGACTTCTCTTATTTCATTACAGATACTTTTTTCTACTACCTGTTACTTAAACTGTAGATGGCATCAGCCAGTTACCCACTTAGTACAGAACGGCAAAGTATGTACTGGCAGATGTGTGTCACCGTTCTCCTCATCTAAAAGATCCTGCTTGGACGTTCATGGCCCAGGATGAAGAAGAGTTTCTGGGTCTGGTCAGCTGATATGTCCTAGTGAGCCATGATGGAAGTTCATGAGGACCTGTGACATTACTCTCCTCCTTACTCATTCATTACTCTCCTCCTTACTCCTTATTCATGGGGCCCAGGCATGGCCACGCTTCTCCCAGTTAGTCTCCACTGTATAGTTGCTGTGATTCAATATTCAGAACTGGGAATGCTTTGGCAGCGCAGGTGGTGTGGGGTGCGGGTGTTCGGTGCAGGTGAGGATGACACTGGAGAAGGGGAAGCTACAGGTACCGTTCGGTACAGGAAGAAGAACCGGGGTTAGGTTCCGCTACATGCAGGAGTACGTACAGGTAACATTTTGTGGGAGTAACACTGCAGAGAGGTATGATGGACGTAGGATGTAGGTGAAGCAGAGCGAGATGCAGATAGGAAATCATGGAAGATAGAGGGGAACAGTTCAGGTCCAGCTAGACTTGTCTGATGGGATCGGTTAGAGTGTTGTTTCCTTAATGCACTGGAAAAAAAAACACACACACATATATAAATATTACTCATGATCTCGGTACAGTCCAAAATCATGTCAGTTAACAACCAGAACAGGCATCACAAAGTTGATTACTGCAATTATTCAATTAGGATGATGACACCCCTTAACCACATACGCGGTATTCTTCCAGTGTCCCATCCTGTCTCTCAGGCACACATTGCATCACTTCTCATTAATGCCAAAGCACTTTCCTTTCTTATTGTAGCTGCTCAGAGTTAATGGCTCTGTCCCAATTCCAGGGCTACAGCCTTATAAAGCTGCATTCTGAAAGCTGCGCCAACAAGGCATCAGATGCCATTTTCAAGGCTCCTTCAAATGCAGTCTAGGAATGCATCCTTCTTGTCTGTGAAGGATCCACCCGATCGATCCATCACAGCCCAAGATTCGTTGCATAGATCTTTAGAAGGATGCAGCCTAGACAGGCTACCCGAATGTGTCCTTCGAAGGATGTAGCCCATGAATTGGGACGCAGATACAAAATGTCTTGAAAATGCAATAACTGCAAAGAAACACTCTGCTAAATTGCAATAAATAGCACTATAATTATTACTTTAAAGAATTAAATAATAAGCAATTACATAGCTGATCTGAATGCATAGTAGGCAAACTCACCAGCACCACCATGTTCTTGCTGGTAACACTGTTAGGAGTCCAGCAAGGTCTCTCTTTAGCAACCTAATAAAATATGATTTAACGATATGGATCCAAGGAAAAAGGCAACATTGAGGGCTCCGCTTGGTGGAGATGTCATGCCTGTGTTTACTCACAGGGAGCAGTCATATCACAGGCAGTAACTATGCTGGGACCAACCATAATACCCTGATATGCAATGCAATAGCTTATTGCTAAATCCCCACAGAGTGGCTAATATCTGAGATTTTCGCGGCTTGTGTGTCACGTATAGGTCTGACACCACTTATGGACAGCAAACACAGTGAGTTTGACTGGGTGAATACTACATTTTATTATTCAACACCTAAAATGCCTGTGGAGAACCCCCTTATGTATTACCAAAACTGGCAATACTGTTAAAATGGTGTTGAGGGTGTTAGCCTACCCTTTGGAATGATAGCTAAGAAATAGTGCCGGCCTGGGCATAGAGATGAGAGGCCACGCACCATGGATGCAAGCTGCTGTGCTTCTGCTGTGTTACTGGCTTCCCAAAGCCTGTGCAGTCTGCTGGAGCACTGATGTTACTGTCTGTGCTTCATGCCAGAATAAAGTACTAAAGCTAAAGCCTGTGCAGTATGCTAGGCTAAAATGCTAACATTGGAGTCTGTGCTATTTGCCAGAATAAAGTGCTAAGGCTATGACCTGTCCTGTCTGGTAAGCTAAAGATGTAAAGCCAGGCCCTATACCTTCTGCTATGCTAAAGTACTAAAGTCCGGCCCTGATTAAAGGTTACTGGTGTGAAATACTGTTAATGGGACTTGGGTGTCTCCTGGATCTGCTTAATCTGCTTGGCTCCTCTCAGAGTCTGGCCATTTGGCGTCCCCTTGTGTCATGGCTGCACCACGGCTGGTTGGGATGCACAGGCGCAGATGGCTGGTAGCCAGTTAAATATTACACAAAGTAAGCTTTATTACTGCACTTCATTTTCATGCCCACAAGACAGTAAGTACTCTAGTGTGAATCAGAAAGACACATTCTCCGTGAAGCCAGCTCCTCCAGGCTAGACGCTGACCAGTGCGAGTCCATGTGAGATTGACACCTGAGACTTTGCTGAGTTATTGAAGGTTAGAGTGTCCTCCTGATGGCGGGACGAGATGTGGATGCTATACTCACAGAGAGAGTGCTGGTCCTCTGAGAGAGAGCCCGCGACTGCACTGTGGATTTCTTCACCTCTGTCATCTGTGGAGTTAGGTCCTGCATCACATACCACATCACTGGTTCACAGATCACACCCAGTGTTACACCATTTTCACCCAAAAAGCATCTCACTTGCGCTAATCTGGCCTCAAACACTACTTCACAGCGACCACAGTAATATCATTACACAGCGGCTTGATCAATCAAGCATAAGCCTGTGATCTTAGTTAAAAGCTCATTCATTTGTTTTTTGTTTTCTCCAGCTGTGTCACACAACAGCAGAGGATAATAAAATGGTTTCCCTTTTTTAGAAGAGCTTGGTCTGCATACTGGAATAAGCCCCCTACCTAGATTCATGATTGGATATTATCATTTTAACACTCTCCTGGTCATTGTGTACTACCAAAAACGATTCATTTAATGGGTATATGGTCAATAATATTTTATTACCAGCAGATTTAGTTTGGCATCTTAATGTAGTTCATAATGGGGAAAAGAGTAAAATATAGATCCTATTCATCACATTTTGTAAGATGTTGTTACATCAAATACGTAATAAAGCATATTCAACATTAATTTCAATCAGATTTCTTAATAATTATCCCAATCTAATTTAAACAGAGAAAGAAAACAAAGAGAAAACTAATAACAGCCTTTGTAACTTTATAAATAATTTACTTTATAATAAAATATAAAAATGTAAAAATGTGTAATCAGTAGTTTTCATATCCTATTTGGAGAAGAAAGAAGATATGTATCATAAGCACGGACACAGATATAGCACATTATTACACAAATGAAAGTTAAACAATGACATTAATTTTCAGATGTTTGCACAAGAGCATTAAACCAAAGTAAATTGCACAATTTGAGAATTAGCTTCATGAACCGGAAACGCTGGTGTAGCTGTGGTATGCACTGTTAGAAATGCAGAGGTTACTGGTGTGGTAGTTGATGACAAACTGGAGTTAGTTTTGCTGTCATGTTAGAGGTACAGCTGTGGTAGGACCATTAGAGACACTGGGGTT